CTCAAACGCTAAAGCCCCGCTGACCAGACGCACATTCTCTAGTTTTCAGACGCAGAGGTCTTCACACCGAGATGTCCTGACGCGAGCCGGAAGTACCGGAAGTAGCCGGCCGGCTCTGATGCTAACAGAGCTATGCTAGCGGCTTCTTGTGTACAGATCTTCTCCAATATGCAGCTTTGTAGCGTGTCTTTGCTCACAGACCTTCCACGGGCTTTATACAACAGTAGTATGTGTTCACGGAGGTGCGCCATACGTTTTTTTGTATTATTAAACGGTATTTCCGCATCGGCGAACACACTCGAAGCAGTTGCATAAAGTCACGGGACCCATTGTCAACCCTGGTTTAGTCCTGGTTTAGTCCTGGTTTAGTCCTGGTGTAGCTCCTGTTTTGGCTGTTTACAGTATGTTCAGTCTGCTCGCTCAGACCACCAATGTCCCCGTGACCACTTTGCGGCTCTCTGATTGGTCGCTGCACGAACGTCCCGAGGAAAAGTTGAGCCAAGTTTATCTCCTGTGGGCGTCCATTTTCCGCCCCTGCTCCTCCCCTTTCACTTTCCCGCCAAGTCCGTGCGGCTCTGCTTAGCGGTCCCTAAGTGCGTGCTGGGAGGTCCGTGCGTTTTGCAACGCGCGTCACCATTGACTTTGCATTGAAACCTGAGGCGACCTCAGATGATCCGGTCTGAACGCGGCTTGAGTGGAACACAAGGAAAGATAGCTTCTGCCATCTGCTGGATCAGTAAGCAAAATAAAGCTTCCGTCTGTCAAGTTGTGCGACAACGCTGTCTTGCTGTCCCTCCTCGTTCTATGCTTACTCCTCAAATCCATGCAAACTTTTAAGTCAAGTTTCCAGGCTGTTGCACGGTTCCAAATGATTCGAGTGCACATCGTAGTATTGGGATTCCCAGAGTCGCTTTATCACATAGTTTATCACTCATCACAAATGTTACTATCCAATATTGAGATTCCAATTTTAGAAAATACTATAAAAATGAGCCACTGGTTCTCGCTAAATGCTACGTCCTCTTTAACGTCAAAAGCGAACTGAGAATTTGAGTCAGTCTATTCTTGTATGGCCCTAAATCACAACAGCATGTATCTCCGGTAATCTCATGTAAATCAGGGAATCAAACAGTTCAAACACAAGAAATGCAATGATAAAAAAAAAAAACACAGAGCCATTGGTCCATAAGGGGCAGATGACCAATGTCCATAAATATCCATAAAATATTCATAATTTATTGTATAATGCTTCTATCTCAAACAAGGTACTTATTGTGAAAAATTCTTTCTTATAAACACGCCACTTGGTGTTACTCAAACCTGCTAGCATCGCATGACAAAGTTCTCCGGCCCCAAACTTGTGGCGTGAGCGGGCGACCGGCCTGCACCATATATTAGCACTTATATAATTGAATGTCAAGGCTGGCAGTTGAAAATGCTCCCAACTATAACAAGGTCGATGGTAATTCCGGCCACAGGCAAAAACAACTGCACCTAATCTAGTTTTCCATGAGCTGTATATCAGTGTGTACAGGCTGTGGGCTATGTGTGGAAATATGGGCCTTTTCTCTATAGCTCCACTGTGCGAGAATTGGTTTTACGCAGCGGTGAGTGATGGGCGGCCTTTGTTTGAGGGATATTCCGGCCGCGAAATACAACAAGCGTCGGACATGGATTGTTAACAGAGCAAAAGGTTGGTGCTTGAAATTGAAAATACGAAAAATTTAGTTGGCAGGAAGATAGAACTGATGACCTGTTTGTTGAAAGTTATAGATAGAAAGGGACATTTAGCATCTGTGGTGCCACCTGTAGTTTCAGATGATCAGTTTGCAAGTGAGAATCTATTGTTTTGTTGCTGTTATGGGTTTAACACATGGACAGTTGTTCGGTAACTACCTCGCAGGATAGATGTATTAATTACGCTTATATTAGCCCATATCTGCAATAAGTTAGCTCACTTCACTGGTTAGAAAGGTTGTGCTAAAAAAGATTATTAGCCAAATATCTTTTGAAGTGAAATACTAATAAGTTTCATTTTTTCCTTCAATAAATAAAAGGTTTTAATTTGTATTATTTTTCTATTTTGACCAAAACAACAATTAATATTCAATACATGAGATATATGCATCAATAGTGCTGTATTTTTGTTCAAATGTGGTGGCGTGTTGCAAAAGGTGCCGACTTGTTTACAGTATCGTATCATTTAGAAAGTTATTGTATCAAATCGAAAGTCCCCTGTATCATATCCTGTTTTTAGTTTCATTGTATACGTATGTTTTTATTTCTTTTATTTTTTATCTATGAACCAGTTTTCTGTGTTCTTAATAAAGAATTAATTGCATATCGGCCGACTCTGATTCCAGCGCTTGTGGATCGGGTATCGTCTGGTATTGAAAACGCATCGAGAACAAACATCTGCATTGGTGCAACTAATCTCTGTACGGGAACTTTTCATTTCTGGTCTTTTTTTAATCGTGAGACAGAACAAGTTGAAGAGATTAAGAGATGCTTTTTCAATTCAATGTTGCATCACAAGTTACAGAAATGAAATGTGATTTAAAGAAATGATCAGAAAGATAAAAAATAAGTTAATTTTAGCATATTCCAGAGGCCAAGCATTATATTAGTATGATGAGGGGAAAGAGGATAAGCCATGGTTGGTGGTTGGACTCATAAAAGTACAAATAGACAAAGTTAATTACTGTGTGTCGTAATGTGTTTGGAAAATCTCCTTCACAGAGGATTTTCTTTGACTGTCATTCGCGGTCGATAGATGGTACAACAAAAGTGATAATGGGAGTGATCGGGGACAGGAAGGAGCTTTTGTGGTCGTAAAGTGTGCGTACCAAACAATTTGTTGAATTGATGTGTTGTGTGTTGGCGTGGGGCCCGGAGAGGACGCTGTGCTAAAGGTCCCCTCAAAATATTAAACCTGGAATGTGCATATTTAGCAGAAATTAAAAAAGACACGCAAGTAAAACAGGGATCATTTGCATTTAGTGTGATTTCACAAAGTGTGGCCAGTAAAAATAAAACGAGTGGTTGTGTCAGGTCTATAAATATAATGAATACCAAGATAAAAAAAAGTCATATTTTACTGTTAGTGTTTATCAGCAATCAGACAGAGGCTGTAATAGTAAGTGAGATGATCTGTCCTGAATCAATGGTTTCAGCATCAAATGACTTCACAAGTTTAGTAAATTCATGCCGGGTTAACTACTTAAAGCTGGGGTACTTAACTTTTTGTTTCATACGTAAAATACATGCATTTCTCAAAAGGAAGGGTCTTGTAAAAGTAATATTTTGTAACAAATCTGATCAGAACATACTTCTTTGGTTAGCACTAGCCCTGTGACTCAATATTTGACACTTTGGGCTGAGAACTAATTGGATGAAAAGTAAGTAATGTTTATTTATACAGCGCATTTCACAGACCAGAGTCACAAAGCAGTTTACAATTGTTATTTTTGGGCATTTGGTCTCTCACTCCACACAGAGATGGGAGCAGGGCCAGTACAGGAGGCACATGCCAGACCTATTGTACATGTTTTTAGTGGTAGGGGAAACCGGAGTACCTGGAGGAAACCTACGCAGACACGGGGAGAACATGCAAACTCCACTCAGAAAGGCCCTGTTCCGATCGAGATTCGAACCCAGGACCTTCTTGCTGAGAAGCGAGAGTGCTATCCACTCAGCCACCGTGCCGCCCGCCCAGAAAAAGCTGATACATAGTGATAGAACCAAACTGGTTTAGAACCCGGAACTAAAGACATGGATTTAATTACATTTCTCTTTAGTTTCATTTGGGTTGGTAGATAGGAACCCCAGCTTTAACAAAAATATGTATTAATAAATGCATTATTTACATACTATGTGCGCCACTTCTTGAAACATTTACTTGGTTTTTATTACAAATATTTAATGAGGACAGCAGGTTGTACCCATAATCTCTGTCCTACTTTGTGTAACTCTGACAAAGACAACACAACGACTTCCATGTCCTGAAATCACACCATTCATTAAAAAGCCTCTCAGTCCCATTCAGTCGAAAAGGTCATCCCAACCAGAGTCACTGAGCCGATCTCCGCGCCTTCCCCGCTGCGCGCCGACAGCTCGCCGCGGTCCGCCTCTCCTCTAAACGCACATTCATAATCACAATTCATGCTTTTATTTCGGCTGCTCTTAGCTGCGGCTTGTGGAAAACGACGCGGTGGCGCATCCATCAGCCCGAGCCGCCTGACAAAGCATCTCCCCCGAAGGAGTACGGATACATGCATAAGTTGTCAGTCGCATCACAAAATCATCCGCAAACAAAAAAGAAAAAAGAAAGAAGCGGTAATGCTCTGGTGCGTCGGCCGCGGAGTGATGTTTGGTGACAGTCGCTGGTTTGAGAGAATGCTTACAGATTTTAAAGGTGTGAAAGGGCTTGCGAAAGAACTAATTATGATCACTGTTCATTTTATCCTGAAATGTAGATGATTACTTTGGCATTTCATGTTTTAGAAAGTTGTATTATTGTTTAAAGCTGGGGCCCATAACTATGAAATGGAACACAAAATCCATCAAAAGAACAGTTTGATGCTATCACTAGTTTTCACATGCATGCATTTTTGCCACTGTCAAATCTTTGGACCAGCTTTTTCAGACAAAAAAAATTCTAAAACTGATGGGGGAATGTGTTTGTGCCGATTTGTGCAAAATGTGTTTAGTTTCCTGTATCGTTTTCGTAAAGTTCATATTTTCATTTTGGTGTGAATCTTTGCTCACTGCTACTGAAAACGGTCTTGCATCTATCCCAGCAAACAACAATTCCCGAACGACTTGTATTAATAGCGTAATAAATTATGAATCGGTTAAAAAAATCGATAATGTCCGGCTCATAACGTTGCAACTTGAAATGCACCGTGTTGAAAAGTGCCGCCGCCCATCACCCTTTGCCCTGAACATGAAATGCAGACATGTTCCAATACAGAGATCAAAAATGAGTGCGCTCCTATTACCGATCATGTGGTCCTGACAGGAGGCGTCCATGATGTGCCCGTCATCGCTGTCTGCTTTCGGCTTGAGCTTCGGACTCATGATCAGTATCTGGGAAACACATGAAAAAATAAAACATGTATTAAAAAACATGCAAATAAAACATAACTTCGAAGTAGAATACAACCTTTTTTTTTTTTTTATTAAACACAAATATGATTCAGTTCAGGTGAGCGACAGTAGCTCAGTTGGTATAGCATTAGCCTTCAGGCCTGAAGGTCGTGGGTTCAATTCCCACCTCTACACCTTCTCCACCGACTCCCACTGATGACTGCTGTCGTTGTGTCCTTGGGCAAGACACCTAACCCCACTTTGCCCAAAGCCCCCGCAGAAAGATCAAGGCTATGCTCACACTCAGAGAGCAGCCGTCCTCCTGTGGACTCACCACCTGCAGAGGGTCAGTGAGGGGCTGGTGCTATGAGACTTGGGTGGCATCTCTGACTGCCACCCCCCTGACCCAGAAATGGATTAAAGGGTAGAAAATGGATGGATGGATGGAGGATTCAGTTCAAAAATATTTTATGTGGAGGAAAAAGAGTGATGCCCTCAGCACAGAGAGCGTGAATGGGACGGGTTGTAGGGTCAGAGAGTGTTTGGGGCTGAGCGAGTGTGCGTTGTGTTGTATGAAATAGTTTAGTTGTTACCAAATAAGCGTCTTATCTGCAACCCCCCTTTTTCTATCCTGTTTATTGTTTTTGTGTTATGTAAAAAAAATTTAAATTGTGCATTATGCAACTGGGAAACAAGGCGGCACAATGGCAAAGTGGTTGGCCCTGTCGGTTCTCAGCAAAAAGGTCGTGGGTTTGAATCTCGGTTGGAACAGGGCCTTTCTGAGTGGAGAAGGCATAAGTTCTCCCTGTATGTGTTGGTTTCTGGTTTCCTCCACCACTAAAAACTAGGATAGAGAGCCAAGCATAAAAAAATCTGGATATGGGAACCAGGCCCTATACTGAAAATGCAGAGGACAAATTTCCTTTTATATGAAAATTGTTTGGATTAGAGTTACGTCTGCGATGCTCCAGTGGGTTCTAATGGGAAGGGGACACGTCTAAGCCATATAAACAATTGACCCTAAAGCATCCTAGACACCACTGAGTCACTAAAAGCTCAAATACGCAGAAATATTATTTTTTTGCACAATGGACCTTTGAACAGAAATCAGTTCATCACCCTTCTCTCCAGCGACAAAAGTGTCCTGCTCAAACTTCCCGTCAGCTCTTTGGGTCCCACTTCTCTTCTCATTCCCTCCCCAGTGCTTTCACTTTTACAATGCTACTTTCCCTTCTCATTTGTAATAACCCACATCTTTCATTGTTGCGCGGTAATTGCCTTCTGTACTTAACATTAATTGGGTTGTGTGATAAAAAAGTACTAGTGCCAAAGTAGCTGCTAGGTCATGGAGTACGTGGTCTTTTGTTGCATTTCTTTGGGGAGCGAGCAGAAGTATTAAATGTCTCGCTCTGTCAAATGGAGCGGTTGCGATAAGGCCCTCTTCGCTGCTATCTGCCCACTCATCGGCAGCGGATTAAATGTCCACCATTATGTCGCTCTTTTGGTCATTTAGACATTGCCGCTTGGGTCCGTACTTGAAATAACGCTAACAAGGTCATGCGCTTATAAGACATGCGTGACAAACACCCGTGATGCTAGCTGCGGAGCTGTTCAGGCAGAATGTACCGCTCTATCGGACCAATCCTCAAGTGGGCCGGTTTTACTCAATTTCTTTAGCCACGTCAAAAGTGCATGTCTTTACGTGATAATGTTAGCTAGGTTTTGTTGTTAGTGATTTGTTAAACTATGGTGTTGTCAAAAAGAGAGAAAAGCGCATATACATTTATTACAAAGTCAGTCAGACAAGAAAAAACCCCTCTTAGCTTGTCAAATAGTCAAATCAGATTATTGGTAAGTATTGACATAAACATTGTAGAGAGTTTTGATCCAAATGTCTCGAATGAGAGATGATTTTAGTTTTTAATTATGGGAATTTATATACATCATATATTCACTACAGGCTCCACTCATAAGGTGAAAGAAAAACAATGCTTCATTAAATACTGTATCATTAATACTCGGCTCAGTTGGTTCATTTGGATTAATTGGAGAGAACAGTGGCTTTGTAATTGTTCATGCATAGTCTGATTTCTAAACCTTTCAGTTACTATAATTGAATACTATAATTGAAGTCTGCACAAATAAAACCATAGAAACGAAAAAGGTACAGCTGATCCTTCAACTCCCAGATTCTGGTAAACAGCTTCCAGAGACACAAAATAATACGAGGTATGTCTTTCCAAAAAACAATTTCACAGTAATATTTCTCATGTGCGTGACATAAATAGCCGGTGCGGTGCGAGCTGTACTTGCTGACATATAGCAGAGGAATTGACGACGAGGTCAGACGGAAGAGGGCTTGTACGCACAACACAATCGATAAGCAGGCCTGGAGGAGGACGCATTGTGGAGCGGGCCTGTGGGACTGCCGCCTACAAGCAGAGGTGGGCTTTAACCACTTACAGCTACTCATTTATAGACGCTTTGTTTATAAAATATATATAACACACTCCTTTTTCACGCTTTAATGCAATGGTGAAATTCAGAAGGTCAAAAGTCAGTTCATCATTGTTTTGACAAAGAAAAGTTGAGAACAATGATTATTCATAAATGGTATGGAAAAGATAACACAAAAAACCATTAAAATGTTGCTATTTTAATGTTATTAATTATTGTTGTGTTCAATGATTTTACCAGATAAGTTTGATATACAATTTTGAAGTGACAACTATTCCATATTCTAGTCTATTTACAATATTATTACAAAATTATTCAACTAACACTCCATCAGTGCCTAACATTGATAGATATTCCTATTTTTCCTCAACTATTTATTTAAAATTCATTTGCATAGGTCTCGATGAAAACAGCAATCATATCAGAGGACTTGTGTTCAATCGCCAACAACGGAACACATTAAATGCAATGTTAAAACAAATACTACCCATTGATCTATGGGGTTTATTACTTGGATTACAATTTTTTACTTAACCAAGTGCATTTTTGACAATTCAACCCGACTTTGCACACTCACTTACCGAGCTATCATGACACATGCCCTCCTCCATTTCCACACTTTTCTTTGGTGACATAATCCCATGCGGAGCTGCCACTGAGCTGCCCTTCACCGCCGTCCTGTGAGAAATCAAAGATTTGATCAGCTTGTCTCGCCAACTCAATTCCCCTTTTATCAAGAAGGAAGAAAATCTTATAGTCACACTGACATGTCCCTCGCTTTGAGAACTGGAGTGACTCTGGTAATGCGCAAAAGATGGGCTGCAATTTAAAGTCAATAAATATTTTTGCTTTCTGCCGAGGAGAACTGCTCACTGGAGTGGACCCATAGCTCAAGTGGACAGATGCTGTTTGTCATGTTATCGGAACAGACACGCTTAATGCAACAATGCCTCATGTTTATTTAGTTGGACAAACAATTCAGTGGGAAAAGAGCATTCTGACAAGTACTAATGAGGAGCCGCTAATCAATTATACAGGATTCAAGGCTGTGGACCAACTTCCGAAAAAGAATTGGTTTTATGTGAATGCACAAGCACTTCTTTATAAAGCAATTTAAAAGTATTTAGGTAAGGTTTTGCATATAGAAAAGTTGAAGGATGTTGTGAGCATATTTTGGATAATTTTCATTGCTCAAAAATAAAGGCTTTGCATTTTTACAGTGCGGCACAGTTGTTTTTACTTTTTTACTGATTCACTCGAAAAAAACAATTACCACGTATGGATTAGTGCATTTAATTTAGTAACGTTTATCTTATTTACAATACAATAAGACACCCATTATTCATTCCAGTGGGAGAATTGCTGATGCCTGTAATGTGTTTGTGTTGAGAAGTTTATGGAACAAGGATGGATGAATTAGGCTTCTTACACATAAGCAAGAGATAAAGCTGAATAAAACCCACCTGCCAAGAATCTCCTTCACCAACTGGTCTTTACCAATGAATGCGGTGGTGCACTGGATCTGGGTGGCGATCTGACCCATCTGGTTGTTGCAATGGTCCATGATGGTACTCAGCTTGTTGTTCACCTCCCCCAGGTTTGTTGCCGGGCTATCTTGCTGGCTATCGCTTTTCTTTTTCTCCTTTTTCGGTTTGACTCCCAGCACTGATCCAATCTTAAGCTCCTTCTTCTCCTCCTTCCCCTTGGGGGAGTCAGCTTTCTTTCCATTCAGAGCTGGCAGCTTACTTTTGCGCAGGCCGAACCAGTTTGCCAGGGAGGGTCCAGTCTTTTTGGCCTCACTGGCAGCAACTTTTTCTTGTTCCTGACATTTCTGGAGATTCTCCTCAATTCCCATCATGACTCTCTCTTCAATGGTGCATGCAGTAGGGCTAATTGTCTTGTCGTCAACATCTAGAGGTTGCTTGGTTGACTCGCTATTATCCGGTTTGTCACTGCAGCCCCCAAATCCCAATGTTTCACGCAAAGGGTTTTCTGAGCTGTATGACGGCAGTTGAAAATGCGGATGGGAAGCAACTTTTGATGGTTTACAAATGTTTGCTCTGTCACTTATCGGCAAGCTACGTGCCTCCTTTTTAGATGGTGACGTGATCACTTCTTTAAGACCATCCTCGCCTTTGGAGTCCCATTTGGAAGTTCTTTCAGGGAGGACATTGTGGCTATTTGAGCCGGTCATGCCGCCATAGTGACTGACCCGGCTTCTAGGTGAGTGCATAGGACTTTCAACATTAGGCACCTCCAAAGAACTTTGTCTTGAAAGCGAGTTACCCCTGTCCCCCGAGTTGGTGATAATTTGTGTACGGATTCTACCAGGTATTTCGGACGTGTTAATATTAGGTTTCTCAAGGTAGTTGGTGCTAAAACTCTGGCTACGTGCTTTTGCACCTGTCATCCCAAGAGCTGGCTTTAGATGGGGTTTTGTAGTAACGGATATGGACCTTGAGAAAAGCTGACTACCCCTTTTTCCACCGCTTTCCTCTAAGTGTATGTCCTCGCTGTGATCTTCCAGTTCAGCTTCATCTGTCGTTGTACTCGTTGACTCAAAAGAGCTATCACACTGTATTGCAGCATTTGTTGTCACAGTTTCCTTAGAGACTGAATTGACCTGATCCTTCTCTAGTTTGCCTGGTATGGAGATGCTACTTTTCTGGCTAGGTGGGGATTTTAAGAATGCTTTGAAACCCATTGGAATGCGAGACTTTGGCGAGGTTACAGTTGAGCTAGGAGGACTTAAGATAGCTTTTGGTGCTTCTGTTTTAGATTGGGAAGATTCCTGAAGGGATATTGGTAAGCTTATAGATGTTTTTTGAACTATTTGGTGTTCTTGGGAAGACCCACGTTTGGAAGCAAAAGAAGTCTGGAATGATGATCCTTTGAGGGCGCTGTAAGGGGGAGGGACATTCTTGGAAGATTTCAATTCGGGTTCTGGAGCAGACCCTGAGTTCGCCAAAGGGAGGTAGTCTTTTGTCAAGCGTTTTGAAGTGCCTTTAGTTTGCGTTACAGCGGGAGACTTTTGAAGGTGCTGACTGGTTTTGTCCGCCAGTTTTTTAGGTGCAAGTGCTGTCCCATAGCCAGCGTCAAAGTCCGAACAGTCTTTGTCCTTGATGGGAAGAGTGGCTTGCATATTTGCTTGGTTGTAACTTGGTGGAGGGCCTCTCACAGTAGTCAAATGATGTGCCATGCTCGGCTTATGCATTTGAGGTGAATTTTCATAATTTGGCCTGACCAGTAAGGATGTGGTTCGGCCAGGGGGTGGAGGAGGAGATGGGGACCTGAGTTGACTTTTGCTAGCTTCACAGTGCTTGTCTCTAGTTGGTTGTTCGCTATTGTCTGAAAATTCCAAATGTCTCCTCTGTAAATGAGGAGAGCCAGGGGTAGAAGGGCCTTTAGTCCATTCAACCCTGCTTGTTAACACAGACTTGGGGCTCTGGGTGCAGTTGGTACCTTGAGATTTCACGAAACGTGGGACTTTGACAGTGGGAGATAAGGGAGATTTATCCTGAGCAGCGGATCCTGAGTTCGTAGTCAGTTCAGTAGTGGAGCCCTTAGACACTCTCAAAGGGGAAGCTGATGGTTTGTTGCGACCTGGTATTTTCGAACTGCCGGTCTTTGCACCAGCAGGTTCATTCATGGGGGGTATGGAAAGTCCTTTACTAACCCTACTATTTGGAGGCTTGATCAGCTTTCTTTGAGGTGTTACTTGTAGGGTCAACCTTTCCTCGCTAGCCTCCCTACTCCTGCTTGGCCTTCTAAGTCTGCTTTGAAATTCTGAATTTTTCTCAGGTGATTCCAAGACTGTATAGTTTCTTGAAGATTTTTGCCGCGTTGGCCGTTCTTGAGGTATCAGTTCTGTGTAATCGGGAAGTATTTTCATACCCATGCACTTCTGAGGACTAAGTTCAATTGGATCTCCGTCTGCGTCAAATATGGCCAAGATATTTTCTTCCGACTGCGTACACTGCTTTGCTACTTTAGGGTTCTTGATTAGGCTAAAAGGTCTTGGCCGCCCATCCGCAGATTGGGTGCGACCTTGGTCTTTATTTAAGTGCTGATGCGGAGGGAATTTTGCAGAATCCCTCGACAATCTTTTGTGTTCACTATCTACAACTTGTGGGTGGAAGGACAAATGGATATCACTAGATTCTGAAATTACTTCCTCAGTATCGTCCATATCTGAAAGTTGATTTGGATACTTTGGAGGGTCCACACGTAACTTGCATGGTTTTGAAAAGGCAGATTTCCGCTCCCCTTCTGGTAGAAAACTATTAATGAAACTCACCAACTTTTCTGGTCTGTCCTTTGAGTCATAACCAGGAGGGTGTTTTGGAGCTATGGGATCAGAGGAAACATGAACATTTGGTGCATTGTCTTGCAGACCCTCCCAGCTACACAAGCTTTCTGAAATACTATGCGACTTTTTACACTGAAACCAGCCGTCTTTTGTGGGAATGATATCAGCACGGTTTGATTGTAAAAGTTCATCGTCCGCGTCATCAGAATCGTAGGAAAACCGTTTACTCCCAGCCGTCCTGCTCACTTGTGGCGTCTTGGAAACATCTTTAACGCCCCCCTTGAAACCCAGGGAGTAGATTCCCTCATTGGAGTTCATGCAGTCCTTGTCCTTGCAGGATTTGGAGACCCTCGAAGCAGATGCGCTCCGGTGTTTCCTCCGCTGAAGTTTGCGAAGTCCTTGCAAGATGCGGCCCTCCTTACGTCTGGTCGGGACCGGCTCCTCAGGTGGGTGGTAGATAAGGCTTGGGGAGGAACGGCCCAAAGTCAGTCTCTTCTCCCAGGTCAGTGAAGACTGTGGGGTGACAGAATAAATATACATCTCAATATATAATCAGTCAATCAATATGTATTCTTATAGAACAATTTGACTCTAAGCTCATTCAAAGCACTTCTCAAGAACAATTGAAAACACAGATAAAAATGCAAAAAATATCAAAATGCAAAACAAATACACCACTGTACAACTATGCTATTTTAAAAAAGTGCAGCATGAAAGTGGGCCTAAAAGTTTTTTTTAAAATGGTCAAGGTAAAGACCACAACTTCGGAAGACTTCCATATTTTATTAGTTTATGTGCATAACTGTACCTTAATGATTTTTCAAAAAGAAAATGCTCATAAAAACATGTATGCAGCACTATAGTCTTTTGACAACACAATACAATGGTTTTACATGTTAAAAAGTTTCTCCGCACTGGTTGTTCTCAATGGGCGATTATAACTCCAGGCTCACACTGATAAAACAGTAACAATAATGAATTTGTCAATTGTCTTAGTTTAAAAAGGTGATTCACCATTTTCCCTGTAGATCTGCCATCGTTCCAGGTGTATGATCCGCTGGAGAAGTCGCTGCAGGCGCTGGAGAGGGAGATCTCACTGCTGCTGCAGCTGCTGCGGGGGTACATCGGTCGCTCCGTCAGGCTCAGCTGGCTCACACACTTGGTCACAGGGAAACCGGCCTTCCCATTCACCTGGACGTCCTGCTGAAAAGATCACAACAGATGTGACAGGCTGTGGGGGACCAAAAAGTCTAGCAGAATGTGTTCAAGGAAATATACAATGCCAAATCAACTTTTTGAAGATTTTAATCAGTTAGTCAGGAACTTCTGGCACAAATGTGTAACTTTGCCTCTTCTGTTTGAAAAAGCGCATGTCTCAGTCCTGTAATAGTATGATGTCATTGTACCCATACATTAGTTTGGTGAATTTCTCTGAAAACTGAAATTACGATTTTTGAATTCAAATGTCACAAAACTAATTTTAACCATCCCTCTTGTGGTAGCAAAGAGAAAGGACAGGCTGATGTCATTATTCATCCTCCATATTCATCCACTGAACGTACTTTTTGACATTCTAAAACATGGAATATGAAGTAAAGAGTCTCATTATTGTTTCAAGACCAAAAATAACAAATGACTCAGTGTCCCCATAAACAATCTTTAGTATGTAATGCAAAAGAGCAGTATCATGTTTCCTCTCCATGAACTGGGATGGAAAAGATAACGCTTATTCTTTCAGCTTTAAGATTTCAGGAAGTGAGGTCGCTGTGAGATCATATTTGAAGGAGGTCATATCCTTCAAATATGATAAACTGTATAACCTACAGTTTTGGAAAGCTTATAACCTACACTTTCAGAATGGCTCCGGATGGACGTGAAGATTTCATTTGCAAAAACAGATATGTCCAACCATCTTTAAATTGTTTTATTATTGGCAGTAACATTGAAAGAAATGTCCCAGAAGGGGTGAACCTTATTTTTTATGCCACTAAAACATATCTAGCTTCAAAAAACTACTTTGTAAAGGGCACATTTAAGCCTTTCAAAAAGATGTTCCCCTTTTCCCTACGGCCAATCACATACTTGATAAATATGACATTAGATGTGTCTGTTATTTCATGTTAAGACATTTTTTTTCTGATTCATGCTGGAAATGCTGGAATGATTTGTAATCATGACTTTAAAACCATATTAGGATTTCGTTTTCATCATATGCAGGAAGTATACTTTACACTCAACCTCATTGCAAAAAATCCATGCCTGTTTATATTGCACTAATCTGCTCATGAGTATCACTTACACCCATCTGAGGAGATGGGATTTCACACACACACACTTAACTACCTCAAGTGTGAACAATATTCCCATCTATAATCATTTTTGTGATTTCTTTGTTGGATATTAAAGTGAAATGACCCATTATTTGAACCAGACACGCTGACTTTATTTTATTAGACAAAACATAATATTATTCTAAGACGTAACAGAGGCAAAAAATGCATGTATATGAAAACTAATCAGAATCAGAATCAGAATCAGAATCATTTTTATTGCCAACGTAAGTAACAGGAGGTCACAGACTTGGAAATTGCTTTGGCTCAGTGCAACAGTCAAAAAGAGATAATAAAAATAAAAATAAAAAACACTTCTAAAGAATAAATTTAAAATAGAGTTACAGTTACTATTTACAATATACAAGTGCACATGGTGCACACAATGTAAGGTGACAGCAGTACAGTGAAGTAAAGTGACGTATGATGGGCAGTAAAGTGACTTTATAAAGGGCGGGGGGACAGGTTAAGAAGTGTTCAAGAGTCCAACAGCAGAGGGGAAGAAACTGTTCTTGTGGCGGGAGGTTCTAGTCCTGATGGACCGCAGCCTCCTGCCTGAGGGGAGTGGTTGGAATAGTCCATGTGCAGGGTGAGAGGGGTCGGCTGTGATACGACCAGCCCGGCCTCGAGCTCGGGCGACGTACAGGTCCTGCAGCGATGGAAGGCTGCGGCCGATCACTTCCTCTGCAGAGCGCACAATGCGCTGTAGTCTCTGTTTGTCCCTGACTGTGGCTCCAGCGAACCACACGGTGATGGAGGAGGTGAGGATGGACTCGATGATGGCCGTGTAGAACTGCACCAACATCTGTGCAGGCAGCTTGATGGTTCTAATGATAGAACCGTTTCAAGAGCGAGTAACTACAGTTTTGGAGTATCGTTAATTACAATTCACCCCACACTAGACGTACTGGAGCCCCCATCGTCATAACCCATTTGCTCTTTCATTACAACACATTCATTCCTATTGTTCATGTTTTTAGAGGTGGAAGAAACTAAAGCAGCAGGAGGAAACCTAATCACACATGGGGAGAACATGCAAACTCCACATACAAAATGCCTGTGGGTGGAACTGAACCCAGGACCTTCTTGCTGTGAAGCACAAGCCTTAGCCACTGTGCCACCGTGTCGACCTCACTTTGTCTGTGTGTGTGCTGTTGATAATCAATGTGTTAACTTCTACATGATCATGATCCAGGACATTCAGGGACAGTGGTCTTCCTGCTCCGTACAGACCAATGGCTCCTCTGTGTTTTTTTATTATTGCATTTCATGAATTGTTTGAACTATGTGATTTTCTGATACTGTATGTGTTGGTGGATCCACAACTGTGTAAAGTCCACTGAGGTGACTGCTGTTGGGATTTAGGGCAAATTGAATTGAATTTAATTTAATTTTAAGTTTTCTATGAGTTTACTTATGTATTTGTCTATTATTGCCATCTATACTCTGTGCCCAGAAACTACATTTGTACACTAACTTAGCTAAAACTGTCACTTTGGCACACAAAAAAATCAGTAATGCACATTGTCCCAGTTCAAAAAAATTCTAAATAAAGTATTGCTGCTCGATATTGTGGCAGACAATATGCCTTACAGTCCTTTCTCGCGTTCTGGGAGACTATTTAGTTCTGAATATATTTGTCATTCAGAACTATTATGTGGATTGCTTTGGTTCTCTGTGCGACAAAAGGACTGGACCCTGCTGCACTTTGTGAAGCCTGATGCATAATACATAAGATGAGTAATGTGCCAGGCTGTCCTATGGAGCTTCTTTTTCCCAAGAAGAGATGGGATCAATGCTCTTCTGGAAACCTGACTGGTGCTTGTCTGCTTTTAGCGGCTGCGATACGGCCAGCTCTTCCGGCGCACAGCCAACAAGGGTCACGACTTGGGTATTTTAATATCTCGTAACGATTTGTAAAAAGAGGAAGGGGCAGAGGTGGTGTGGATGGGGAGACTGCTGGAATTACCGTGGAGGAGGACTGCAGGAGGGCTTTGCTCCGCTCGGGCTCCAGCAGGAGGTCGGCCGCGGACAGGTCCATGATCTTGGAGTGCAGTTTCTGGAAGACAAGAGCAGTTGTAGATGAACGTTTACGACATCATAGACGCTGGTGCTAATTTCAATGCATGTAAGTGTGTCCTATGTTAATTGCATTTCAAACATAACTTTATTCTGTAAAAACAACTGATAAATTCCCTAATAGTTTGAGACTAGACCAATATTTACATTAATTATGGTCTTTACAGAATGTTGGGATTTGGGATGTTCGCAGCAATATTGATATTAAAACTATATTTAATTAGCAGAATAGGATATGTTTTAGTATATCCTAAATATGTTTTAGAAATAAAGAAAAATAAATTGATCAACCCTACAAGAAAGAAGGATTTTGGTTGCATCTTGATTTCTCTATCATTAAATAATAAGGAAGAAAGTAGAAGAATTTTAGTTTTTTCAATTAAATCCAAGAGAGAAAAATAGAACTTTATTAATTCAATACAACAGAGAGGAAGAAATACATGCTTTTTAAATTCCATTAAAAACAGAAAAAAGAAACCCTTATAATTGAATCAAAAAGAGAAAGAAAATAAAGTTGTTTTTTGAAAATTAGAAAGAGAAATTACAAAGTTTAGTGATGACTTTTTCTATAAATTAAATAAAAAATAGAAATTAAATCTTTTGGTTCAACCTTTACATTATCATTCAATCAAACAGAGATTGGTTATGACTTAAAAAAAATAAAAAATAGTGGAAAGTTGATTGATTCACGTTTTTGATCACATCTGTTTGCGTGGCTTCTCCGCGGCGCACCGACACGTCCGCGCACGCAGTTTGAGAAGCGCTGGGTTTTGCCTGTGTCCTCTGGCCCTGGCGTCTCTGGGCTCTCTCATTAATGTCATCATGCGGAGAAGAGCCGAGCGTGTCCGTAATAATGAGTTGTGGGACGCGGGGAGTGCTTTGACTCTCTCGCAGCACCAGCCCTCATATTTAACTGCATGATCCGGATATGAACGCAAATGTATTAATCCACCTCTTAATTACATGGGACCCTGGCTTCGCAGTCACCACGCTGGGAATAGCACTAGGCTCAACGCGGGCACTTCGTTTCAAGGGTAAACCAATATTTTTTACTTTCCCTGTATTTTTTTAGCGGTATGCATATATATTTGTTTAGCTTATTTA